CAAACAAACAAACAAACAAACAAACAAACAAACAAACAAACAAACAAACAAACAAACAAACAAACAAACAAACAAACAAACAAACAAACAAACAAGCTGAAAGTGAGACATTGCCGAGCAGAAGCAATTACTAACTGTTATATTGAAGAAATATAAAACATTTCCCGTGTTTACGTACTATTTAAAACACAAGTAGGAGTGTTTTATCAGATATAAAACGCGAGGCACAGCCGAGCGTTTTATATCTAATAAAACACGACGAGCGTTTTGAATAGCTTAAAATACAACTACAAAAGAATACTAATTAGGATGAACCATTATATAATCATGCTAATTAGGATGAACAATTATATAATGTCACATGTGTTTTATCAGATATAAAATCACTCCACGTGACATATTATAACTGACATGATTTGCTTAATGAGTATTTTAAATACATTTATAGAACACCAGTGAGCACGGGCTCGTTTATAAAATACCTTACAGGAAATAGGTAAAACAAAGAAATTGTCACTGTGCCCGCTGTCTCTATCTGTGTCTATGCAATTATGGAAACACGGCTTTCAACCAATCACCGTACTTGTTTCCAAAATGTTATTTTAAACGTACTTATGTTAATAATAATCACTGCACCATGCGTGGTTGTTATGCAACTATTTAGAAACATGAGCAGTACGGAGTGTTTTATTACCTTAAAAAATTACAGCTGTTGGCGTTTTAGATCTGATGAAGTTTTTTATAACTAGCTTAATTAATTAAATTAAAAACTTTATAACTGGCTTAAATTAAAAACTTCAGTAGGTCATTGTGTAGCAATTTTCAAGATTCACGTTTTCTTAGCCAAGAACATGAAAGCTTACGTTTATGTAAATCAGAATGATTTTTTCGCAGATATGAAACTCGCCGAACCATGCAGTGTTTGATTTTCACTTCTTCATGTTTTTAAATCCTATTTTAAGAACTTTAATTACAGTTGCCATATTTATATTAATCTTCCTGATATAGTCCTGTCATTCCCTTCGTTTGCTAGCTTCACCGTTAACGAACAAGGACAAAGTGTTTCCTTTCCTGCTGCAAGTGCCTTTTTTCAGTTTCCAGCCGAAGCAGTTAAAAATCCAGTTCCTATAAGGCTCAGTTGTATAAGGCATCAAGACTGTGAAGTACAGCCAAGAAATGGAAACGTATTTTGCAGTAGCATCGTGAAAATGGAACCTGAAGGTTACGTCTTTAACAAACCAGTCACAGTTCTTCTCTCTCACTGTGCTGCTCAAGACGGTGCTTATGCTGATTATTATGATCTAACCATTCAGAAATTGGGTAAAGAATGTGAAGATTTAAAGACAGAACAACTTGGCAAGCCTAAAGGTAGGACACTAGTCAAGAGTAATACTTACCCTGAACATTGGAGGGAAAGGAGGTAAAAATGGACTGGGGGAAAGGAATATGACCAGGAGAAAAAAACAGGGGAAGTAGAGGTTGAAAAAGGATTTAAAAGCGAGGAGAAATAAGAATAGATGGTAAGGAAGGAGTGGATAGGGAAATTGAGGGGAGGAAAAGTCTCAAGAGGGGAAAAGACCCAAGAGGGGAAAAGGTAGAAAGAGTGGTGGATATAGGAAAAAGAAGGGAAAGAGTAGGAGTGGGTAGTGAGCAAACAAAAAGATACGATAGTGAAGGAGACGAAGAGGAGAAAAAGAGAAGAATAAAGGAATGGAGAAAGAGCTCGAAGAGGAGAAATCGGTGAGAAGAGGGGAATTTGAGTAGGCGATATAGGGCTAGTAAAGAAGAGGAGAAAGCAGAGGAGCAGAATACAAAGACAAAAAAAATGCAAATTAGTTAAATAGGAGGAGAAAGAAAAACAAAATGCAGATTCTCACACTAGCTTGCCATCTGTTCTGCTACCGCAAAGTAGGGAAGTGCCTTTATTATGTGGATTACAATAACAGTTCATAGTCTTAACAAAACTATCAATCTATCCCCCAGTTACTATCCACAAATCTAGGAGGGTACACTGCATTACGATGTGCAAAAACTAAATTGATGCTAAAGTCACTTAACTCATGTGACCTAACACACGGTACCCCAGTGCCCCAGTATGAGAAACCAGTTTTACGCTTATTCCGTAAATTCAGACAACGAGAGTCGAGAAACTTAAAATCCTTCTTCAGACGAAGACTAGTCTACAAAAAACTAAACTAGGTACAGGTAGTCTTGTTTTTTGTTTTGTGAATATGTATATACTCAAAGTATTGCCAACGATGCACTTTGCTTTTAAATTTTGACTTTTAGATTTACCAGAGAAAACTGTTTCTGATTTCTGTGACATCTTCGAGTATTTACCTCTTGCACAAACCAGCATCACAGAAGCGTCGACATTAGTTGCGACGACCAGGATACGATCTGAGGAAATTATTCTGGTGCCTGATGAAATGTATGTTTATCCGAGATCTTATGGAAACGAGAGCGATCTCGAGATAATCTTTCCTGTTGGAGCTGTGGAAGAGGAATGTCGTTTAACTGTGCAGGTAAAACTGAAATCGGTTTCAGGAGATAGATAGATAGAGAAAAAATATCAACAAGTAAGCTTAGCTTGATAAACCAATGCAGTGTGGTTGTAACTATTACAGAAATCACTGGAAATTTTAGAACATTGGGGCATAAATGATGCGAAAGTCAATTTTTTCATAAATTGTGAAGTACTTCTGTATCAGGTAATGAATCGTGAGACAGAGTGATATTGAAAAGAGAAATTCGAGGTGAATTTGCCAGCATCTTATTTTAAAAAGCGTCTTTTACCTCTGAGATCATGGGTGCGATTCATTTGAATCAACGCTCTTCCGAAAGTCGTAGATTTTTCCGGGGCTCCAGTTTCCTCCCACAGGAAAAGTTAGGATAAACATAGTTAGAAAAGTAATATCACAAATAGTCTAGGCTAATTAGGTAACATAAGTAAGCGTATAGTACTTCGTGTTACTTATTAAATGTAATCGCTCACTGAAAAGCCCTGACGGGGAGTGAGCTGAATAATAGAGAGTTTATGATTCACGACGCGGCTAGTAAAGACGCGTTAGAAAGGCTTGGTAACTAGAGCGGCCAATTCCAACGCGTAGTCGACGATTCTACGACGGAATTTTGTCAATTCACGTAGTGATCACTACGCTGCGAATTCCAGGTGATTGAAACAAAATTGGATGATTAAACACCACAGAAAATGTAATCAAAGGCACTACAACAGCAGAAGTTTATTTTCCATTTAAAATCGCTTTTTCAAAAGCAAAAATTACAAAGATTTTCAAAAACCAATACTTTTCCCGCCAAAATGACCGTACGCTAACGCGTTCGTAACGTAGAGAACAGAATAGAAAGCTTAAAGGTCCAGACACACCGGGCGCGATTCGACAACGCAACGCGATTTTTCGATTTTCCGACTGACCGATAACTTTGATTCTAGTTTAAATTTTCCAAATAATTAGAAACGGTATAACATTTCGAGTTATTTGGTCTACATATCTTTCAAAATTTTCTCTCATTGGCTGTTTTATTAACTTTCAAAAACTAAAAAATCGCGTCGCGTTGTCGAATCGCGTCTGGTGTGTCTGGACCATAAGATCTACGACGCGGCCGGCTCAACGACGCAAAACTGTGAATAATTAGTAGTCCCAGGCTAGTAAAGACGCGTTAGAAAGGCTTGGTAACTAGAGCGGCCAATTCCAACGCGTAGTCGACGATTCTACGACGGAATTTTGTCAATTCACGTAGTGATCACTACGCTGCGAATTCCAGGTGATTGAAACAAAATTGGATGATTAAACACCACAGAAAATGTAATCAAAGGCACTACAACAGCAGAAGTTTATTTTCCATTTAAAATCGCTTTTTCAAAAGCAAAAATTACAAAGATTTTCAAAAACCAATACTTTTCCCGCCAAAATGACCGTACGCTAACGCGTTCGTAACGTAGAGAACAGAATAGAAAGCTTAAAGGTCCAGACACACCGGGCGCGATTCGACAACGCAACGCGATTTTTCGCCATTTTCCGACTGACCGATAACTTTGATTCTAGTTTAAATTTTCCAAATAATTAGAAACGGTATAACATTTCGAGTTATTTGGTCTACATATCTTTCAAAATTTTCTCTCATTGGCTGTTTTATTAACTTTCAAAAACTAAAAAATCGCGTCGCGTTGTCGAATCGCGTCTGGTGTGTCTGGACCATAAGATCTACGACGCGGCCGGCTCAACGACGCAAAACTGTGAATAATTAGTAGTCCCAGGGGTATTCTCAACGACTTTGTCATTCTTAACACAACGTTGAACGAAGCATTGTCATGCATGTTTTTCAAAGATGAAAGCTTATTGCGCGACCCAAGAGGTGTTACTTAAAGTCGAAATTACAGCAAACTTAGCAGTTTGTAATGTTATTTGAAATGAAAAGGCTTCAAACATTTATTACAGTTGCTTACAATTGCTTAGCGCTCATGAAATTCAGACCGCGTCATTGAGCCGGCCGCGTCGTAGATCGTAAACTGTATAATAAACAGAATAAGACGAGGTGGTTTGGGCCGCGTTAGTTACCAAGCCTTTCTAACGCGCTTCTCTCGTCACGTCGTGAATCGTAAACTCTCAAATATATATGGCAAACATCACTTTCAGTGAAATGGCGGACTGTGATTGCCTGAGAAGCACTTTCAGCGGCCATTATTTTCCCGTAATGGGCCGGCGGTCCATTACATAAAAACAAATGCATGCATTTTAAAACAAAACAGCTTGAAACAAAGCTAATTGAAGATTCGAAACTATTAATAAGATATCTGCGAATGGTTTTTAGTGAAAAAGAAGGAATTACGTTGGTATTTTTTGTTTTCTTCGACCAAATGTGTACGACGCTGACTAATATGCATTTCAAATCATGAATTTCTTGGGGGTTTTTTTCAAGTATAAATGCTTATGAATGCCATATAATAAACTTTTATTAAACTCGCTTGCTCGGTATGTACAAAGAAATATCGGCTCTCGGTCTTTTTGTACAAACCACGCCCTACGGGCTCAGTCTCTACAAAAAAGACCTCTGTCCGATATTTCTCTGTACAGACCTCGCGTTTCGTTAATAAGAAGTTAATATCGGCGAATTATTTCTTATTTCGTTCTAATGAGCCGAAGCGTTAAAACGTAGTATTAACTGAAACCCTTTCAATTGATAAAAACTATCCACGGAGAAACGCACGCTCTGTTACAACATTCAACAACACTGATACCCGATCTGTTCAGGAAAATGTAACCAACTCTGTAACAGCTATGAGAAGTTGATGATCAGCATTGATGTCTACTGATCAGCATTCATCAGTCCTGATATATCTCTCATAACAACAACATGTAACATTAAAAATGCTAGATGCG